GGTTAATATTTTTTAATTTTTTTAATAATAATGAAATAATCTTTTGCACCGGAAAAAACCATCAGCGCCTAAGTGTATGACGAGACTCGATGTTTCCGAGTAAGATCAATACAGTGTAAAACGTCTACTTTGAAACATTAAAATTTAAGTTTTGAGTTACGCGGAGTCGAAATTGGAAAGTTTTATGTGATTTATTAATGAATATTTGAACACCGGACCAAATAAATTTAATGAGAAAACATCTACGCTTAAGTCTGTGGTCGCAAAATGATGTTTTCCAGAAATATCGGTATTACCGAGGAATGTAAAACGTTGACCTGGAAACAGTCAAAGCTAAAATTCAAAGTTTAAAAATAAAGTAACTAAATTTTATTTATTTAACATAACATAAGATTGCCTATGCCTGGACGAGGCCTATGTCCAGCAGTGGACGGAGTAGGCTGTTGGTGAAAAAGAACGTAATTTAACTTTGTTTAAATATTTCGTTGAAACATGCAACTTTATTATAACCACACTAGACCCCACGTGTGTACGCGAAATCACGTCAATTTGTTTGAATTATCTTAATTTTTAAACACAAAGACAATAACTCTGATCTCTGATCACTAAAACTCTGACAAGTTAAATGAACTTTAAAGGCAGGAAAGGCTGGAGAAATTCGCGACGCATAATGCAATACGTACGACAAGTATAATAAAGTGAAAAAAAAAATATTTTACTTAGTTTTTAAATAAAGAATGACTCGTATCGAATCAGGAATTAGTCCTCCCTTAGTGGAAATTATTGACCGTACTCGAGAAAATAACAATAACGGCTTATGGTGAAAATAGACTCAGTACGGGAAAATACAGTTAAAAACGTATAATCTTAAACTTTGATATTTTCTCAACTGACAAAAGAGGTTTAATAACAAAAAGAGAATTAATTACTCACGCCGCTGCAGAACTTTAAGCCGTTATTTGAAACACACCCACCCTCCTATCTCAGAGAAATAATCTCCTAGAAGAAACGTTGGTTTATAAGTATATCACGCTTGATAATAATAATATACGTCACTTTTCATATTTCTTTATGGAAGAGGGAGCAAGCGGGTCACCTGATGGAAAGTGACAACCGCCGCCCATGAACGCCTGTCGAATATTGCTTTCGAGAATACTTAAAACGTTCACACATGATGTTTGTATAATATATAATAGGACGCAAAGGAGCTGACGACTCGCTTAAAAGAAAGAGAATACCGCCACCCGTGAACGCCTGCAACTAAAGGGTCACAAGTACGTGGCACAAAGTGGGAGTTCGCTCTAGTTTTGACGGTCGCAAAGGTCTGGAAATACCGCAGGCGATAACTAGTATTAAGTATTGTTAATCCCACAAGGTTACCCTTTTCTAGATATGGAAAGTAGTGCTACTTTTAAATCATATTCATGTCATGAAATGATTGATATTAGTCACAGCGATTTCACACTTAATTGTGATTTCGTCATAGACAAAGATAAAATGACATTAAAATCAATCAATTTTTTTTTATCAAACATTACGACCTTTTTTTTAGATTGAGACCTTTCGCGAGTTTTGCCGTAGCGTAACAATAATATGTATGATTTATAAATCATTTTGATGATTGTGGTTTTATACCATCCCTACCTTTTTCACTAGGTGAAGCGATCTTCCGGGTCAAGCACCGGTCGGCTCGACCGAACTGATAAAACACCTCACCCTCACAGAAAACCAATCTTAGGCAAATGTTTTGTTACTCTTTGCCGAGTGAGTGACTTTTCGGAGGAAAAGATGAGCGCGCACTCAAAGGGCGGCGACCACTTATGACTTATGTTGCAGGTGTCCGTGGGCTCGCTTGCCCCTATAATCATGTCAAAATCTATAACGCGATAGCATTAATTACCGTAGTAATCTTTATATTTATGCGAGCACAATCGCTTTTAAATATCATATTTCAGTTTGATAAATTATTATAAAATATTTATCATGTTTATTTTCCAGAGAGATTTAGTTTTCTACGCGATCACTGCAACAGAGCTGAAATATCTGAAATTAATTCCAGCAAATCCATCTATTGTCTTAGCCTTTTCCCAAAACGTGTTGGCGTCGGCTTTTATTCTGTTACGATACGACTGTACTTCGATGTTTTACGCGGAGCGACTGCCATCACACCTCTACAACCCAAGTATCGAATATCGTAACAGATATACATAAGGCAACCGGGACCGACGGCCTAACGTGCTCTCTGAGGCACAGAGGGGTCTGTGTTTTTTTTTTTATGGTAGCAGACGAGTTACCTGATGGTAAGCAACTACAGCCGCCCATGGACACCTGCAACTCAAAAGTCACAAGTGCGTTGCCGCCCTTGGAGTCCCTCTCGCTCGAGTCAGGGGGATTTGGGCTCCGGTAACCTCACTCACTCAGTGAAAGGCAACGAAAGAATTGCTTAACACCGGTTTTCTGTGAGGAAGTGGTATCACTCGTGCCGAAGCATGGCTCTCCCACGGTGATTGATCACCTATCCATAGCCTGACCTGGGTAAGTTTGCTTAACTTTGCAATGTACTAGGTTACCACTTAGCCACGAGCCCCTAAACTAATTCCCGAAAATTAATGTAAATATCCCGTTTATAATAACTTGCTAAGTGCAAATGTTCATATCGTGGTATTTTAAATCAATACTTACTTAATTACGTTTAAGTAAGGCATTACTTTACAATTATTGCTAATAATTGCTGATGTTCATACTTATCCTAAAAGAAACATAACATCTAATAAAGTCAAAATTACTTAAAATTAACTTAATATAGACAAACATTCACTGAGTTAATGACTTATAACATACAAGTCAGATACTTATAACATTCACAATATAGACCCTATGTGATTCAATTAGTAACTTAACTAATTATAAATGGCTTAAAAATTAAAGTTGCCATCTCAATTTTAAACATTTTCTAAGTAGATCTAGTCTATATTATCTTCTAGAGGAAAACATTTTCTTAAATATAAAGAAATAGTCATAAAATCAAAATAAAACTTTACATAACTCATCACCACATCTAATGTTCAAATTAGGTAGTTTTTGACTGTTGGTCTAATGGTCATTGGAGCAGAAATGTGCTTGAGTAGAGACCTGGATTAGGAACGTAGCGTAGAGGGTCCTGAGGTACGATTGACCGACTTAAAGAGAGTGGCGAATGGATGCGTACTGCTTAAGACCGAGGTGGTTGGCATTCCTTGGGGAGGCTTTCGTTCAGCAGTGGACGGCGATAGGCTGATGATGATGATGATGAAGCTTATGTTTGAGTTTCATTTTGATTGAGACAATGTAACAATGTAAAAAAATGTAGTCTTCATGACTAATACAAGGAAATAAACAATGGACGCGTCCTAATATCTCTTAATAAACAATACCATTTTTTAACTAACTTTATAAAAAATATATTTTTATGTCGTCCCTCGTCGAACAAAACCGCTCAAGTTGAAAAAAATGTTTTTTTTTTGTATGGCAAACGAGCAGACGTGAAGTTAAGTGACTACCACCGGTCAAGATTAAGTCACCCGTAAGTTGAGAGAAACTAGTGCGTAGCCAGCCTTAGTGTGTCACCCCGACTCCGTTACGGGGAGGGCTGTGGTAGTTGGTTTTCCGATAATCTCACTCATTTGGTGATTCAACTACATTATCGCATTATAAACAGCATATCTTTAATACCTTACCGGCTTTTTTTTTCGGAGAATGCTTTTCGCACCATACCCTCCGTTAGGGAAACGCAGGGCGTGTGTGGGACTCCCGCAGAACCGGTCTACCCACTAAACCCCGCGGCGGCCTACCACGGCAGTCGGAAGGAGCGCCAGGCGGCTTCTGGAGTCCTCCCAGCCGTACCCCATGTCTGAGGCACATCCCGCCTCTAACCCAAATGGTCCACAGCTTCACAGAAAACCGGACTCTACTAATTATTTAACTTAAAGGGTCGCAAAGCACTTGTGCCCCTCAACTTGAAGGTGTCTATGAGTTCATTTGCTCTATTTACCATTCAAAATATATGTTATATACCTTTGAAGTTAAAAAAATAAGTAGTTTTTTCACTCTCTATAAAATCAGTTAAAATGAGTGAGTCGGTGTTGTTCGATAACTGACGATGCTTTGTCAATTCTTAGTAAATATACAATTTTAAATTTAGACGTATAAAAGTTATAATGTTCTTTGATCTGCTGCATTAATACAGGATAGTGATACGAGTTCAAAGGGATCATGCCGCCAATACATATCTACTTTTAATTTTTAACATATTTGAAAAATGTTTTCACAGTACTCTGAATTTTATATTCCTTCGTAAACGAAAGTGTTTTTGATACCTTATCTTTTCAGATAAGCCCAAATTTGATTGATATTTTGCTTTTATTATGCAACAGACCTTTTTAACACACTTACATACAAAAATTTTCACAATAGTACAATTTGGCATGTCGGAGTTGATTTAATGATGCAATTAGAAGATATAGTAGAATTTTTACAATTTACTTCTAAAGAATCGATTTTCATATAAGGCGCTCGGTATGAAAATAATATGACGAGTAAAATTTAGTGATCGAATGACCTCGTTACGTTTTTTTAGTTCTAAATGTGATTAATAGATGGCGGTTCAACTATTTACTTTTACGTCTTTGTAATAATATTTTGTTTCATTATTGTTTCAGTTTAGTGAGTAGTCTACTACAAAATTAAAATTGTTTTCAAACGGAATAAACCCCAAAATAAATTGCAATTAAACGTGACTTCTAACTATTTAACTAACATGTACATAGATGGCGCCGATCACTAACTTTGTACACACACAGGGTATGCGTTCTTAAGGAATAACCTCTAGTCGCGCGTCGCACCTGACACACACTTTTTTAGTTCGAAGTCGGTGGCTAAGGCGATGCACAGGCGTCACAATTTAGTCGCGAACTAGTGGAACAGAGGTAAAGTTATAGTGTGAGCGTCCAGTAGAGGGCACGCTAGAGCTGGGTCCGCATGGCGCGGAGCAGGGCGGGGGCGGCGGCGCGGTGGTGGCCCTCCTCGAGCCGCACCACGCGCTGCACCGTGAGCGCGCCGCGCCCCTCCTCGTCCAGCCGCATGTACTCCAGGGCGCGGGCCAGCATCTCCTCGCTCGGCTCCGAGGGGAAATCTAACGACACAAACGCATCATATTAACGTTATTTGTCAAACAGAGATTGTTGCTATTGTGTGTGTTGATCTATGACTTGAGTCTAAACGAGAGACCGTTTCAAACGATTTTATTTTTTTATTAAATAAAGATAGTTTGAGTTTGAACGGTTCAACCATAGAGAGAACGAGGGGTACAGCCGCCTGTAAGTAGAAGCAATACAGGCAGCAGAGAGATGAATGCCCTGTCTCTGTTTGGCTAAGCTATAATGTTTTTTTTTCCTTTTAATAAGACAACTCCTGTCAATACATCCTGGTATCGCGGGGAACTTTACAAACATACATGAAATAAACACAAAGAACACCAAGACTCAGAACAACAATGTGCGGATCACACCAAATGCACAGAGTTAAGCCCAGTAGGAAGCGGCGAGGTGACCGCTTAAACCACTACGCCGTCCACTCATGGCTACTTATTAACCCCTCATATTCCCCAGCCGACCAAAGACCTCGGCTAGAAAGAGATGGAGAAGACTAACTATTATCCATCTCTCTCGTTACCTATATTGCAAGATTGGGGTTCTTGTTTCCTCTAGGTTTTGTTTTGTCATCCATCCTGTTTTCACTTTTTTGTTTATTAGATTTCAAAAGCAGATAGATTAGTCGCATTTTTATTTATTCAACACTATCGATGTCAAATCGATTAAGAACGGGTTTTCTAGGTAGATTTTTTAAAAATTTGGTATGTAGGTAGCTTTTCATCCACTCTTAATTTCCCGCGGGATGCAACTAGTCATTTATATTCAACGTGATCATCTAACCTGACTAGAGTATCCTCCTTTCGTGTTAGGGACAAGGGACAGATATTACACCGTAACTAAGGTGGAGGATGTACCTTCGATGTCGAAGTTGGAGCCGAGGACGGGCAAGCCGCGTACAAACTCGGGCAGCATCTTGCGCAGGAGCGCGACGGGCACCTCCTCGACGTTGCCGTAGTCCACGTAGCACACGCGCGCCAGCGACCCGCCCGCGCCCTGCAGCTGCTCCAGCAGCACCGCGCGGAACCACTGCGTGTCTGTAACACCCGTTCGAGATCATATCTTCATTCAAATACTAGCGAGTCTTGTAGTACAAAAGTTTATAAGCACAGTCATAATAATATAGTCATGATCGTAGATTGACGGTTTTGAAAAAAATACAAAATTCAGTTTTTAACATATTAACATAGTCGGTAAATTGACAGATTTGATAGGCGCTCAAAATAAAATGAAGCATGCGATTTATTTTTCTAGAAAATTGTGTAATAATTAGTTTTATTTTTCATCTTAAAACAAACCCTATTATTCACTTGTATACAAAATTTTCATAATTACAGATTTAGAAAAGTTATGTCAAAAAAACCCCAAATCCCCCGACACATTTTGGATCTGAAAGTCATAGTGTATAGAGTATTCTACTAGTCAAGCACTTTCATTTGATACCCATATTGAGAGTTATAAAAAAAATGTAATCGGCCAATTTGTGGTGGCGGCCATATAGGATCGATTTTCATCAAACATAGCTAAGAACACTCCAGACTAATTCATCTTTCTAACAAAAAAAATCAAATCAAAATCGGTACATCCGTTCGGGAGCTACGTTGCCACAAACAGACACACACACAAGACAGGTCAGACAGAACAATTGGTCTGTTCATCTACTTACATGGTGGACATTGTGCAATGCACAGCTCTTCTGGCTTCGGTAAATATGGGTCTCTACCGATCTCACTGTTGCAGTATTCAGCCATCTGTTATAATACACAAAATATTAAAATACCTTTTCATTTGTATGTTTAATCATTAGATCAGAATAGAATAAACTTCATTGTACACCAGTAGTAGGCCAAAACCTCCTTTCTAAGCAGAGGCCATGTCCAGCAGTGGACTATTAAAGGCTGTTGATGATGATTGATGATCACCAGTTTAATACCTGATACATACACAATAGCATCAAATTAATGACAATGAACAAAGGGCGGTCTTATAGTTAAAAAGAAATTTCTTAAAGGAAAGTTTTGAATGGACAACTTAGACAGTAGATATACGAATTCGTGGGTAGTTTGGTGTGAGAAAAAAAACCAGACAGGTGCCGTACAAATTTTTAGGAACACAAATGTATGTATAGTTTTCAGATTTTTTCCTGTACTATCTATCTATCCGTTTCTTTTTTTACGTTAACACAGAAGTTTGACTTTTTCACAGCTTCAAGACTGTACGTACACCTTTTTTTTTTTTTTTTTTTTTCCGTGCGGAAATCCCCTCGGATACCACCCGTCGGTGGCATGTCGGACACGAACCGACTAAAACCGCACGCCGTGGCCGGGTACTAATAGCCGGGGAACCAGGTATACCCTAGAAAGGAAGTCCCTGGTGCCCCGACATACCTCGGGTCATCTACAGACGAGTAGACGACCCATCCCGTGTGGGAACCCCATGTTCCCTGTGCTCCCTGGAAGCGAGCGCGCTTCGCAACGCGCTCGCCGCCACCCCGGCCTGCTTCTGACTGTACGTACACCTGAGTATATCGTTTTAATTTCAACTAGATACCTAAACGCGTACCCGAGATAAAGCGTCTTGACAGAAAAACATACGGACGGACGGACCTACAATAAAGTAATCCTATAAGGGTTCCGCTTTTTCCTTTTGAGGTACGAAACCCTTATAGGAAGTAAAATAATGTAAAAGAATCATAAAATATTTATACAGCAAACAGTATTTGATTTCGATAAAAAGTGAATAACGAAGTATTATTGTAATATTATTAAATAAATCCGCAAACAGTGCTAATTCACACCTCGTGCGATTAGAACGCGTTCTTAGTGGTTAACAAATATAGTAAACAACTAACCGGTTTCTTATCGCTCGGCGCAGCGCGATCGGCGCCCGGCCGTCTGTTGTGTGAAGTTAATATGAACCATATTCTGAATGGCTAGCGGACGTGTTTACAATGACTGCGATGAAAATTCCATAGTTGACCAGCGTGGTGAGACTGACCATACATATTGTTTAGAGGAGAACATGGAGACAAATGAAGAACTAACAAATAAGCGGTTAAGAATCGAGAATGGTGAAAAAGGTTGGCAGACGGTTGCGAAGAAAAGAAAATCTATAGATCTTTCCACCACGCAATCGGTAGAAAATATGTGGCAGATATGCGTATATTATAAAGAAAAACTACCTAAGCAATTCGCTATGGCAAAGTTACTAAACGAAAATAAAATAACTGGAGTCACAAGAGTTAAATATGTTAACCCTTATAAGGTATCATTCACTTTTGATAAGGAAATTAACGCCGAGAAGTTTTTATCTTGTACCGCCTTAAGTGAACTTGGTTGGCGCCGACAAAAAACTTGGGAAGTTGACTTATGCTATGGAATCATCAAAGATATAGATGTGGAACTATCAGAGGCGGAGCTCCTAAAATGTATTCGGGCTGATAAAGACCTTGTGACCGCTAAGCGGATGAATAGGAGAACGGAGGAAGGATGGACTCCGAGTGAAACCGTGAGAATTGGTTTTAAGGGTAGTTCTTTACCAAGTCATATTTATTTAATGGACCTACGAATTGCTGTCTCTCCGTTTGTGTTCCCTGTGACACAATGCTCACGATGCTGGAGGTTCGGTCATACATCGAAGATGTGCCCCTCTAACAAGCCTCTCTGCCCGAAATGTGGCAAAAATGATCACGCAAACTGTGATATACCTATTTATAAGTGTGTCAACTGCTCTGCTAATCATATTTCACTATCAAGGGATTGTCCAGTTTACGCAAGGGAAAGACGGATTCGTGAGATTATGTCACAGCTGAAGTGTACTTATCAAAAAGCCGTGACTTTTATTCCGCCTTCTCCGCGTCGTACAGCCGAAGCAAACAAGTTTTTAATTAATAGCAACAATGGCCTTGCCTCTCAAGGATCATCTAACACCAGTGCACCGAGTATTGACACCGAACAATTCGAATTAGCTGAGATCAACGGGCGACCAAAGACAACTATCACAAAAAAGACTCACAAAAAAAAGAAAACAAAAGTTCCGGTCCACCTGTCCGATAATGTTATAGTGGATATGTTTGTCACTGACTCTAACCCCGAAGATTCAGCTGACCCTCAAGATTCTCAAACTACACAACCTCATACAAGGAAAAAATCTCGCGAAATATCGCCACTTCGGCGTGTGTGGGATAACATTAAAGAGATGATACATAACATAAAAAATCAGATTCAAACACAATTTAAGGATGGGTTAAAAGTGGTTGTAGATTGGCTTAACATATTTCTAAGTAATTTAATACCCGATATGTCTGTTTTAAAAAATATATTTACGTCAGTTAATGGATAACGCTTCCAATACATTAATTAGATTGAACATAATACAATGGAATGCCCGAAGTATTAAGCCCAAACTAAAGTCATTCGAACAGTTATTAACCCAAGAACACATCCATATTGCGGTGGTAAGTGAAACATGGCTTGCACCAGATACTCATGTAAATATCAATAATTACTATATTTTTCGTCTGGATAGGGATGGATATGGTGGTGTGGCAATTATAGTGCATAAATCAGTTCAAACACAACGGGTTGAAATACATAGAACTAATTCTGCTTTAGAATTAATTCATATAAAATTATTTAATTGCAATCAATTAGAACATTTAATTGCCATCTACTGTGCTCCGGAATCGTCGACAAATTCTCAGACATGGGACTATTTGTTTTCTATGGCAAACAGAAAGTCGCTTATATTGGGCGATTTTAATGGACACCATTCAAACTGGTCTTACAAAACAGATACGAGGGGAAACCAAATCTTAGATTCAATATTAGACTATAATTATATGATATTAAATGATGGTAGCCCTACACGTTTTCAACTTGTAAACAATGTATATAGAAAATCTTCTCCTGACTTATCTATAGCGTCCTCTGATATCTCTTTGGGTTTTGATTGGATGGTATCAAATGAAACGTTGGGAAGCGATCACATGATTATTAAAATATCTACTTCATTTTACTCAAATGAGCAGTATCAAAAAAGAAGAAATTTCAAAAGGGCTAACTGGACAGTCTATGAGAGTTATCTTGATGAAAAATTTAATACTTATGATACCTCCACTCTTTATAATCCTCAAGTAGCTTATAATTCGTTCTTAAATATTTTATACGATGCCGCCGAGAAGTGCATCCCTAATATAAAATTTAGTACTAACCCTACAAGTAATTTTCGGCCTAAACCATATTGGAACCCCGAACTATCCAAGTCAGTGGCAGAGAGGCGACTAGCACTAGCTAACTTTCGACGTAACCCCACCCCAGTAAATTTAATTGCACTAAAAAGGAAAATAAGTGTGTCACGGAGGATGCTTAGACAGACCCAAAGACAGTCTTGGCATCAATTTTGTAGTTCTATAGACGAAACAACCTCAGTGAGTGGACTATGGAATAAAATTAGGTGGATTAAAGGTTACCAAACACAAAAAAAACACATTGACCCAGATACAGCCAGCCTTCTTCTATATAGCCTAACCCCTGACGATGTACCCCGATGTAAACCTATATTCTCTTCACAAAATTCGGCTCTAGATATTGAAATCACGTTGCAGGAATTAAATCAAAGTATTAAAACAAAAGACACTGCACCTGGGTTCGACAACATTTCTTACAGTATGATTAAAAATTTACCTCTAAACGCTAAATTAGTTCTAGTAAAACTGTATAACTCTTTTCTTTCGACGGGTTCAGTTCCTACTCAATGGCGAGATATTAGTATTATACCTATCCCTAAACCTGGGAGGGACACCCACTCCTCATCGGCACTGAGACCGATTTCGCTTATATCATGTTTGTGCAAAATTTTTCATGCAATTATACAGAAACGACTAGAGTGGTATTTAGAAAAAAATTGTATGTTTTCTAACGACACGTTAGGTTTTAGAAAGTGCAGGTCTTGTCTAGATAACTTAAGTCATTTAGTAACAAGAATTCAAACAGGTTTCTGTAAAAATTGTATAACAATCGGATGTTTCATTGATATAGATAACGCATATAACAACATAAATATCAATAACCTTTTATATAAATTAGATATGTTAGGGGTGGGACAGAAAATATGTAGTTACCTTTTTGAATTTCTTCGGGAACGTTATCTTAAACTAGTAATAAATGGTATGTCGGTGACCCGCAGCACCGGCAGAGGATTGGCACAGGGTGACCCATTGTCACCCTTGCTGTTTAATGTGGCAACTATAGACATTTGCAAACAACATAACACCGATTCAGTTCACATCTTACAATATGCAGATGATTTCGTTATTTATTGTACACATAAAAACATATTTAACGCCGCTGAACAGTTACAAACTTCGTTGGAGAATATCGTAGGCAGTTTATCTGAGCTTGGTCTAGAGATTTCGCCCTCTAAGAGTAAAATATGCGTCTTTAAAAAAGGTTGTAATAGACAAAATATTTCTATAAAATTGAATAATAGAAGCATACAAGTAGTAGATAGTGTAAAATATTTAGGTTTGTGGCTAGATCGATCTCTTAGATGGGCTAAACACATAAGAGAAATTAATGAAAAAGTATCTAAATTTCTCAGCATCCTTAAGTTTGTGGCGGGGATAAGTTGGGGTATACACCCGAAACATTTAAGAAAAATGTATATTTCTCTCCTGAGGAGTCGTTTAGACTACGGTAGCTTTTTATACGGTGACAGTAGTGAAACACATTTATGCAAATTAGAAAAAACTCAAAATCAGGCTATGCGAATTATCGGCGGGTTTATCAAAACGACACCTATCCATGTAATGAGCAGTGAACTAGCGATACAGCCGTTACATATACGTAGATGCTACTTAGCCGGTAAATTTTTACTAAAATGCAAATCTTTATTAACGAAGAGTAAAATAATTAACTACTTAGAGGATTTAGCCAACTATCTAATCGCATGGCGTAGGAAAAATAAACCTGTTTTAGTAATAATGTACGAACAATTGAGAGAAGTGCAAGTTCATTGTAGCCAAAATTTAGAGATGTTTGAGAGCCGAGTGTGGATGGCCTATATAGATATTTCCAAAAATCTAAAAGATAATATAGATTACATAAACAAGCCTAAACAGCAATACGGGACATCCGTTTTAAGAGATTTGTGTTTTAATTATATGGATACTCGGTTTCCGAATTATTACCAGATATTTACCGATGGATCGAAAGAAAAAGGTGGTGCGGGGGCGGCCCTCTTCGATCCTCAGCAAAATACATTCGCTCGCTATGGAATTAGGGTAAAAATATCGATCATGTGTATTGAACTAATAGCTATTAGTGAAGCGTTATCTTACATCCATTCTATTGACCATGACAAGTTCGTTATTTTTACTGACGCTAAAAGTGCCCTCCTACATGTAGCTCGGTGTACCTCGACAATTCGAGGAACACCGATAGCATACACAATTATGAATCAAATTGTTGAGTTAGAACGGAGCGGTAAAACAGTACATCTTCAGTGGATTCCATCTCACATTGGTATAACTGGGAACGAAATGGTTGACACACTTGCAAAGCAGGCTTGTTCGGAAGGTATATATATTTCAATACTGCCTTACTATTCAGACTGCCTATATCTTGTAAAAGAATACTGTCTTAAATCCTGGAAAGAATATTTCGATAAAAGATCAACCGAAAAGGGTATCTGGTATAAAACTATACAACCTGAACCGCTGGCTATCCCTTGGATTGATAACTGTTCTTTGAGTAGACATAAATTGATAACGGCTATGAGGTTACGCTCTGGACACATCCCATCCAGAAAGTTCACCTTTTTAATGGGTTTATCATCTACGCCAAATTGTGAAATCTGTGGTGTGGTAGAGGACGTAGAACATGTTTTGATGGAATGTGTTCGGAACCAACAACTGAGAGAACGCCTGCTTAATGATAAGTTGATGGACATTGGAAGATGTAACAGCATCCTGGCCAGTCCTTTGACGGATACAGCTAATGATATTTATACCTTGTATTTTCAATATTTAAGTTAATTTTAAAACAAAAAATGGCTATGATGGAGCGACGTAGTCATCATTGTGGCTAAGCTCCGTAAATAAAGAAAAAAAAAAAAAAAAAAAAAAAAAATCCGCAAAGAGAATTCTTAGTGCGATAATTTAAGAATATTTCAGAGAAAATTTGACACACAAGAGAAAACCGCTACAATAGGCTAAGTGTCCAGTATGTTGAGCTGTCATGGTATGGAAAAAACATATAATGAAAGTTACAGTATAGTATAAATTGCTTGTTAACATGCTCCGCGAGCCCAGAATCGTGTACGCTTAATAACGACCTGAATCAAGCAAGGCCAAACGCCAACTGGGCCAAAACCGTGTTGACACCGACACGATAAGTAAGTAAGTTTAGTATAGCATAATGACAGTAGGCCAAAACCTCCTCTTTAAGGAGAGGCCTATGTCCAGCAGTGGAGTATTAAAGGCTGTCGATCATGCTGGTGGGACGTTCCCTAAAAGAGTTGGTGTCAGGCGTCTGCCATGATTCCCCGGCTATTAGTACCCGAGACGGCGTGCGGTTTTAGTCGGTTAGAGTCCGACATGCCACGGTGGTATTCGAGGGGATTTTCGCACGGAAAAAAAAACAAAAGAAAAAAAGGCGTCTGCTATCAAAGAAACCAGTGGCTGTTGCTGTGATGTGAGGTAAATGGGCATTGCGTATACCGCAATTCATTATCTTAAAGTAAGAACGCAGTTTGTATCCGTGATATCTTTAACTATTTATCGATATGTGACAGGTATCGACAAAAATATAGATTTTAAAAGAAGTTTTCATAGCGTTAGCATACCTTCTGTGTAAGATGCGAGAACACATAGTCGGCGTGAGGATCATCCTTGACGTACCCCGACAACATTCCACCCTGTAAGACGCTGACATCCGTAATAACCAGCTCGAGTGGTCCCGACGGCAGCTCCTGGTACTCCAAGTCACAATACATCATAGGTTCAATTTCTAGAAACAAATAAAATCAATTAGATGGTTTGACGACGGGCCTGTGGTTCTAGACGTTAGTGACAATGACTGCTAATCCGGAAGTCGTGTGTTTGATTCCCACCCAGGCAAATATTGTGTAATGAGAATAATCATTTGTTCTGTGTCTGGGTGAACATTTATCTATAATATGATGTTTTTAGAAATATTTAAGTACCTATGTTTATCCGTTCGTCCGTGTGGTGACGGATTAAGACGTCCGTGTGGTGAAGGATTAAGAATAAATATTGTCACCACCCCCAATTCATCCCCGTGGGTGTCGTAAGAGCCGACTAAGGGAGCAAACTAAGCAGAACAACAGCACTGCAAAGAGAAGGAAAACTTGAAACAAACCCTACACCAACCCGTCTGGCCAGCGTGGTATAGTAGGCCAAAACCTCCTTTCTAAGGAGAGGCCTATGTCCAGCAGTGGACTAGGATGTGATGTGATGTGATATGTTTATCAGCAGTCTGGTTAACATAGTACAGGTTCTGCCTAGTTTGGGATGAGAAGGCCGCGTGAGATGTGTAAGGTTTTTTAATGTGAGAGCCTTATTGATATACGAGCTTCCGCCCTGAGCTTCGCCCGCGTGGCTTCGGCAACAGTGATGCTTTTTCGCCCGGTTTATATAGCATAAGATTTTTTGCGACCACTTCAACGATAATCGTAATATTTGAGTCAATTTACATAAAACCTCCTTTCTAAGGAGAAGCCTATGTCCAGTAGTGGACTGTTAAGGCTGCTGATGATGATGATAAAATAAACCATTATAAATTATACACCGAAACCTTCCTCAGGAATCACACTATTTATTGGTGAATACCATACTAAAACCCGTTCGGTAGTTTTTGAGTTTATCGCGTTCATACTGACAGACAGACGCGGGCGGGGGACTTCGTTTTATAATATGTAAGGATTTTAGATTTTGCGGTAAATAGTAGCCCATGTCCTTTCCCAAGAATCAAAGTATCTCCATGAAAAGTTTTTCTTAAATCTGTTAAGCGTTTTATCCGTGAAATCGTAACAGACAGACTGACAGTTACTTTCGCATTTATAATATTAATAGAGATTACATGTGAAACGTAACTTACCCACTACATCTCCTCCTTTCTCCTGGAATTTCTTCCAGTCAGGAGTGCACATTTCAATAACTTTCTTGTTCACATTCTCGCTGTTCTTCGACAGTTTCAAAGCCACTTGGAGCTGAAGATTCGCCACGGGGCAGGGTCTAAAAAGTCAACATTCATATTTTATATACACTAAAAACTTTTTGAAGTGAAAACTTTAGGCGGGTTGGGCATTTTTGAACAACAAACAAAAGAATGTATTTTTTGAGATGGGAAAAATAATTGAACTCGCGACACTGTTACCATTACCGACACCTCGGTATATGAGTACCGACACCTCTGTATATGAGTTTACACAAGGGTTGTTTGGGTTGAAATACATTGATAACATAACTACAAACATATATTGTGTATATGCATACAACATAGTCCGAACATTTCGAATGGAAATCATAAAATTATGCTTTACAAACATAAAAGATTGCTTCGAATGGCAGAAGTAGGGAAGTTTGAAAGAATGGGTACTTTCACTTATTGCATGCAGAACGGCAATTTCATAGGTAAAGACCTAATATATCATTGCCTGTATACGTCTATTCGAAGTACAAATAGTACTGTATAAGAACTCTATCATTTATCCCCATAAATGCACCTACCTCACTCTTTCTCTGCATCGCCCAATCGGTCGACTGGCAGAGAATGCCTTAGGCATTAAGTCCGCCGATGCACACATTCGTGCATAAAGTCATAAATAAATAAATAAAAATAATGTTAAAATCAAAAATTTTCAAAAAAAATCACGGTGGTACTCCGGGAGTGCCACTCTTTTTCTTACGGTATAGGAGAGCAAACGAGCAAGTAGTAGTAGTGGAAGTATAATATGCATGTATTTACAAAAACAAAAGTATTCTATCAGTCAATCTAGCTTTCAAAGTACAAGTTCTGCTTAGTTTGAAACTAAATGGCGCAGTGTCAGATGTCCGAAAATATAATAAAAATGCGTAAATGGCTTTCTTCGGGCATTTCATTATTGTGTCTCGCTTGATTGATTAATTTGAAGTACTAGTAGAACTCACGGTGCCGTGGGAAACGAACATTCCTAAAGACCGAGCTTTTAAAAGAAACGAGTACTTTGACTTAACCAACGAAATGACTGGTTATTTATTAAATTAATATTAAATCATTAAAAATAGTTATTTCGTTGGTTAATGGTTAGGTAGAGGGGGTAACACAAAAGGCAGTAGAGGTGAGAGCTGACGCCTCGCAAGGAGTCCTCCCTAAACTTATTCCTGGGTCGCAAGTCCCAGACGCTGTCGAAGTGTTGCCTCCATCTATCACGCCATGGACCCGGCATCCGCACGGTCAATCCATGGATAGCATTCCATGGATTGACCGTGCGGATGCCGGAGACTCTCTCTGTTTGTCCAAATAATAAGAAGTAAGGTGGGGAGGGTCTTAAGCTTCCAGTAACCTTACTCAGTTGAAGAAAAACATCAAAATGATTATTCAACACTGATTGTGTCAAACCATAGGCTACCAGGATAGGAAACTTTGACCTGAGAAATAAAATAGTTTATTCTGGGATTATTGTAATAGGTTACAAGAACACTTGCATGTCAAACTTTTTTGAGCAGATGGGTTCAGCCTTTCTTAGCTGGACTAGCCCTGAGAAGAAAGGACGAAACGAACTCAGTGTGCCTCTCTCTCTCTGTCTGTGCCAAAGCATAACCTCTCCCACGTTGTATTACGTTACTATGAATTAAGAAACTTACCAATATCATTTCTTCACTGGAATCTTTGAGTTTCTCAATATATTCCTTAGCAGGAGGGGTGAAGTCGCCACCTTCGTGTGCGTTACCCCAGCAAAATAATGTCGAAAATGGTCATTTAAACTTTATAGATAATTAGTTGCTCCCCTTCTGTAATTGTTAAGCACATTTTTAAATTTGTTTCATTTAAACTTTTTTAGTTATTTCAAAAAAACATTTCCTGCTGGAGTAACGTTTGAAACGTTACCGCAGCCAGACATTTTCTTTTTTAATTGTAATATTGAAATAAATTTTAGCTAAATAATTAGTTATCTGGACTAGGTAAATGTTACAACTTATTTGGTATTTGTATTTTCTTCGGCTGCGAAGTTATTCGAAATCCTGCTGGAGTAACGTTTGTGGGTTTGCTGGATCTCTGAAACGGGTAAGCGGATTGTAACCATCTTTTGTACATAACTTCTTAAGGATTAGTTTTAATTTGTTCGACAATAAAATAACAAAAATAATGGACCGTTTAAAAATTATTTAGGTAAGTATGAAAACACTTCAATACGTCCTAACACTTTAAATAAGACCTCTAAAGACTTACTTGAAACGTTATTCTATTGTTTGTAACTACCTTCAAATGTATACGAATTTTCGTAGGAATACTGTAAGTGACTAAAAAGTTATGATGAAATGTAGCTCTCCACGTTCACGATCACAATGTGTGCGGCCTTTTTTGGCCACCGATAAACCTGTGTTTGGATATATAAACTGAATGTTATGCCAATAATTAGTTGTTTAGTTCAGTTGTCTACCTGTAAAATTTCAGCGTAGTACATATAATAATTTACGAGATAATTAAATAAAAGTCATTAGAAGGTGCAAGTCCGTGGTAATCCGACCATGTTTAGGTGGTTACAAAAAAGCGATCACCCAGTACATTGCGCTGTCTTTTAAAATGTTTAGTGTAATACACCTTACGATTTCGGTACAGTTGCGT